CATGGTAACCACACTCCACAAATTAAATGGTTTTATGGTACTTGTTAAATCATTCTTATTAGTATATAATATTAAATCATTTTAGTAGTATATGTTAATTATACATAATGGGCTTCACATAGTTTTTCATACATGCACATATGTATTTTGATCACATTCACCCCCACCACCTCTTCTGCTAATCTGTCTTCCCAGCTAGACTCCCTCCTCCCTCCCCCTCTCTCTGCCTCTCTGTTTCTCTGTCTCTCTCTGGTGTTTCAATTAGTTTAAGCAGGGTTGCTTATGGGAGCACAGCTGCGGGGTTAGTTACAAGAATATGGCACCTTTCCAGGGGCTACACCACTGAAGAAAACGTCTCTCCACTCCTCAGCAAATATGAACTGTCTTAAGGAATGGTGGTGGCCTCATGAGCTCCCCCCCCACTTTATGATTTTTGTGGAATATTTAGCTTGCAAATGTCTTCTGTGAAAGTGTGAATCTAACCAGAGTCCCAGGGATGTATCCTGTTTCCAGACAGCAAATTTTGCTGTTACTACGAAATATGTAATGAGCCATTTGGTGCCAGCTTTATATTTACCCATTTAGTCAGCTTGAATGACTACATTAGTCTTTAACAATGAAACTTAATTCATATCAGGTGAACAGGGAGCTGCATCTGGGATCTGTTAGGACTCCATGTTCCTGAGTTTGTTTCGACAGGGAAAGGAGAAGGCATGTTAACCACAGCTCTGATTCAGAATTCTGAATCCAGCCACTCTGTGGCCACTTGGATCTGGTCCACGGATCAATCATGAGACACCTCCCTCCCACATCTTGCTCTCCCAGTTTGAAATGAGTACAATGTGGTTTTTGTCACTCCCACCTATTAAATCTGCCTGGGCGGTACCCAGACATCTTGGGTTGTATTGCAAATCGCACATGCACATTTTCCTTCAAATATGGCATCTTCTTGTGAAGAATTAGATGTAGGCCATTCGATTGTCAATAGTTAAGTGGTGGACTGTCTCTTCCCAGGGCTGGGAGGGCACCAGCCACTCTCACAACCCCTTTGGATTGTCTGGCTATGCACTTCTGGATTTGAAAAACCGCGTTGGAATGTGAGTTCAAGCATGAAGAGTCATTAAAGCCAATTATTATCCCCAAAGTGCCAAGTGTCAAATGGTGCCAGAGGTAGTGACAGTGCTGGAGTGTTTTCTAGAAAGATCCTTGCCTTTCTTAGCCAGTGGGAAGGGCTGATGTGTTTATTCTGGAGCAAGATGAGACACAGCATCCCTTGAAGCATTTCTGCAACCTCATGTGACACCTCATTTTAATTTATTTATTCTTGAACTGACTGAGGAGATATTTCAGAAAGGTTAATATTTTTTTAAATCGTGTGTGTGTGCTCACGTGTGTGTGTGTGTGTGTGTGTGTGTGTGTGTGTGTAAGAAAGGGAAAAGTGGAAGTTGGATTTCTCCTCCCACCACGTGGATCCTGGGAATTATTCAGGTCACTGGGTTTGTCCTTGGAAGTTTTTACCCACTGAGGTACCTTGTTGGTCCTAAGAGGGCCATTTTATAAGCTGTAACATTTAGATAAATGGTGTATGTCAACTTTACACTCAAAAACAAATTTGAAAGTCAAAGATGAGGTTTACCTTCAATGTTATTCATTATGCCTCATGTTTAATATGTAAAAGCATTACTGGGATTCATGAGGGAGTACAAACATAAACCAGACACAAATGCCACCTTACTTCTCACTGTCACTATGACTTAAAACACAGTGCTTGTATATACAACATGGTAGAGAGGAAATAGGTATGATAGCCACAAATGCAGCAAACTACTAACAGCTGACCCCCCTGTTATTCTTTTGAATTTTCAGCATGGTAGATACTATCTCAAAATAAAAAGAGTTTGAGTGTTTGCTTTGAAAATAAGTAGTCAACTACCTATGGGCCTGGGGTGATGTCAGGGTCCCATCCAATTGTGGGGACTTTACCCACGTTCCTCTACTACTTCTGGAATTGTGCTGTGACTTTGGGTGACTCTTGGCAAATGTGTAAATGCTTACTTTTTCTTCCCAATTTTTCAGGGTGCATCTCTTCCAGTGAGTGCACACGTAGCACACTTGAGGTCACAAGCAGGAGATGAGTCAGCCATGGAGTACAGGCCTCAGCAGTGGGAAGCGTTGGGCCTGACCTCTGCCGCTGCTCTCCCTTAACTCTCTGCCCTGGCTCTTAACCATGGGCGAGTTGAAAGCTTCCTCTTCTCCTTCTCCCCATCGCCCCCTTCTCCTCCGCATCCCTCTTCATGCAGTGTGCACTCAGTGTTTGTTAGCTGCATGAATGGATGAGTGAATATAGTCTTGGATGCTTTCTTCAGGGCTCTTCAGCTGACTTCCTTTTCTTGCTTCCTTTTCTTGCTTTCTCTCATGAAGGTGACTGTAACCTTCCAGGACTGGGTTAACCTGGAGTACAAAATCTGACCTGTGTGATTCTTTAGGAAGTGGCTTTCTGCTTAGAGATGTAATGAATGAACTGTGTTTTGGAAATGACACATAGGCAGTTATGCTCAAAGAGAAAGGGAAGATGACTAAAACCAGGGCACTTCCAGTGGGCAGCTGCACATTTAGCCTGTGTCATGAGCCCCATATTATACACATATGCTTCTAATGACGTTTGAATAAAGGGCAAAAGACCTCTAAGGAGATGGGGGTGCTTCCGTGCCTGGGAGCCTCTCAGGTTTGATAACTCTTCCTAACTGCCCAGTTCACACAATTATCATCAGTGAACACTGTTGCCTGCTGCTGGATCATATACAAATATTCAGATTTTTGTTTTCCTCCCCGTTGTGAAGGTTATCTCTCTGGTTGCTCTGAAAATTAGCTGACAACCATTTCCCATGATGCTCCAAGGGCTGTCAAGCTGTCTGTCAAGCTGTCAGCTGACCAATCGTTCCCAGGGTTCTTTTAGACTTCCGTATGATAAATTGAAAGGCCCTGTTATCTGTCTGCTGTGAAGGGGAGCTGTCTGGGCTTTGATAAGATATCACTTCTCCCAGGTGAGAGGTTGCTGACAGCATGTCCAAGCAAATCAACACCTCAGAACGAGCCGAGCCGGGACAAGAATCCGGGACCACAGTTTGCAGACAGCGCCGGCTTCCTTCTCTTTGTATTTAAGTTTCAGACTCATCTTTCCATGGTTACCAACAGTTATTTCTCTTCCTAGCTTGCAATTAACAACTGCTACTCTTTTCACCACGAAGAGAGAATCTCAAAGCCGAAAACGTATCTTCTTGAGACTTTTGGCTCATGGCACACAGACTGCCCACCTCTTGACCAACGAACACTGTTCCCTGATATCACACTTCCCCCAAGAAATACATGAAAATATACATGTTACTACCAAGTAGATGAATTTGACATCTAGTGTATAATAAAATTAATTACTTGTGTCTGGGTAGGCATCATCGACATGAGCTGGCTTAGGTTTGGCATATGTTGGTTCACATTTTAGTGTTGGTTAGGAAAAAATGAAGTTATGACGTATATTCAAGGTTTTACTTTCAAAGCTTTTCATTTCTTATTGTTGCATATGTACGATGCGCTTGTGGGGAGGTCAGAGACAAGTTCATGAAGTTGGTTTTCTCCTTCAGTCTTTGCGTGAGTTGCAGGGATTGAACTCAGGTCATCAGGCTTGCATGATGAGCACTTTACTTTGTGAGCCAAAAACCCTCGATTTTTTTAATGGTTCTGAATTACACTCCTGTAGTAAAAGCTGAATTTCTACACATGGTGTATATAAGGGAATGAGGGCAGTCTCAGTAGGTCAAGGCTGCATGAAGAGTTGGGGTAAGAAACTGTGTATAGTCAGGGTAGGGATTTGAAGGGAAGGCTGTCTGAGGGAAATCTACCTGGAAATGGGTCTATTTCAGTTACAAACATCACCTTGCGTTTAGGACCAGGACCTGTGGACATCCATGTCCAGTGGGTAACAGGCCAAGCTCCCGAACCCTGACTGTGCAAGAACTGTTTTGTCCTTAGGGTTTGATCTCCCGCCCGCCATCCCCTCTCACCTACAACTCTGACACACGCTGACTGGCTTTCATGACAAACAACGGAACATGCCCTTTGGTGATCACTCAGAGAGATAGTCTGCTGTTGTTTCTCTTATTCCTGAGCAGGATAAAAGAGTGGCAGCTGCTAACATCACCACCTTGTGTACAAACGTTTTTTTTGCACACAGTCTCTTGTTACTAGTGCCTAAGGATTTCTCAAAGTAATGCAGTGTTCTAGTGACAGACAACGGGTAAGTGACTTTGGAATTTGGAGTCTGAAAAGAGAAACCATGGATGCTTTTCCCTTCTTGACAATTAGTTATGCGTGCAACACTCCTCTGTAGTCAACTAAATAAGCAAGACTAACCCAGAGCCCTTGGGATTGAGGCTCTGTCAGCCTGGGGTGGGAGGGGCACCAGGATGTCAATGAACTGAGAGAAAAAGATACAAAATGGCCACACAAGTAGAGCCACAGGATACTGAGCCTTCCATGTTTGGTACCCAGGTCCCTCTTGGTGGAAGGAGGGAGCCGACTCCCACAGAGTCCTCTGATCTCCACATACACACTGTGGCATGTGCGTCCCATCACCTACAAACTGATAAATAAAAATGCAACCGAATTTGTTTTAAAAGAAAGAAAAGAGACTTGAATCTCCCATGCTGCCAGACAATCCCTGACCCACAGTTCCACTCACAGAGCCCTCTTGACTTGCACATGGGCTAAAGTTTGATGAATTTGTTCACCTGAACTTATAGTTTTGGTCTCTGTCCAGTGAGGGAAACCTCTTGAGGTACTGAACATCAGACTTCCTCACAGGCTTCTGGAGTGTCGGAGCACCCAGGCAGGTGCAAATTCTCAGTTGTCCTTGAAAGCATCTACATTGGCCACTGTATCGGTTTTCCAAAGAGACATTCTTTATCCCTTCTAGCATTTTGGCTAAGATCAAGTGGAAGACATACCTTGTACGCCAATGAAGGAGACAGTGGCTCCGGAGGAGAGACTGAAAATGTCCATGTAGGCCTCTGGGGACACAAGTAAGTGTCCTGAGTTTCTCTTCCTCTCAAAAAATTCCAGTTCATTTCTAGGGAATAAAGGAATTAATTTTCCATTAGGATTTCTTATAGGCTTTCTCTTTTATAAGTGAACTCATACCATATTTTATTAGCTCATTGGGCTATGATGACCAGTCAGGGGGGAAAAACATGTTTCCCTTGGGTCTGAGTTTGACCCCTAAAACTTAGATTTAAAAAGCTAGACCTGGTGCTATGCACGTGAAACCCTGGGCTGGGGAGGCAGACACAGGTATATCCCTAGGACTTCCTGGCCACCAGCCTAATCAGAGAGTTCCAGGTCAGTGACAGACACCTCTCAAAGGAAGGTGACAGCCCCTGAGGAAAGATGCCTGAGGTGGGTGTTGGACTCCACACACATGTGCGCACATATGCACACATGCATGTGTAAACATATCCAAGTGTATATAATTACACAAATAAGTTATTAGTTCACATAGCAGCAAAATAAGAACAGTTATAAGCTGTTGAAAGTAGTGCCCTAGCTAAGGTTTCTATTGCTGTGACAAAACACCATAACCAAAAGCAACTTGGAAAGGAAAAGATTTATTTCATCTTACATCTCTCAGAGCAAACTTCATCCCTGAGGGAAGTCATGGCAGGAACTGAAGGCAGGGACCTGGAGGCAGGAGCTGATGCAGAGGCCATGGGGGATGCTGCTTACTGGCTTGCTTCTTGGGTCTTGCTCAACCTGCTTTCTTATAGCACCTAGAGCCATCTGCTCAGAGGTGTCCCCACCACAATGGCCTAGAAACTTCCACATCAATCACTAATTATGAAATCTTATGGTGGCATTTTCTTAACTGAGAGTCCCTGTTCCCAAACGACTCTAGCTTGTGTCAAATTGACATAAACTAGCAGACAATTAGTATCTTGTAGGTCTAGAGTTTTCATATTAAAGATAATGTCTGATTTTAGTCTTAAATTTTTGCTCAGTGTTTTTAAAACAAAGGATAGCAACTCAAATTGTAACAGAATGTATCTATGTGTATGTGTGTTTGTTTCTGTCTCTACCTGGGAATATTGGCCCAGTGGGTTTGTGACACTGACTAATGAAATTTTTGTCTAGTCTTGATTGCTCAGCATGATCTATTACCAAGTTGAAAATAATCTTGTCTATAACCATCCATTCTAATGCATCTGGTCTTCTATGATCTCAGAAACCAACGAGGGTCAGGTCCATCTTAGATGGTATTCTGCCTGGGAGTATCAGGTGCTGTAGGCTTAAAAACATCTTGCAAAAATAGTAATGAGTTCCATAGCAATCCCCCTTTTTAAAAAAATCAGTATATGTGCATGAGTTTATTATTGCTGGCATTATTTCATCCTATTTCCTAGATGTAGAGGTGAGCTTCATTTCAGAAATAGAGTCCAAATGAACAAACTACAAACTGCTGTGTTCTTCCAGGAATCAATCGTATGACTAAAATATTTATACAGTGATGTTATACATCCATAGTCTTCCCCAGTGACAAAGTTATGATTTTCTAACCGTGCAAATGCCATTTGCACCTTCTTTTTCACTTTAATGTACTTATTGTTATGTGAGAAGGGCTGGAATTAACCAGACCAAATTATACGTATCTGTATTCTCTCAATTTATGTGGATTTGGGAGTGTCTTTATCCTGACAATTTTTCTGATAAATCAACTAGGAAATTCCCCAAAGGCTTGATTTCAGCCATTGTTATGGAAACTTCTTGTCAAACCCTGCAATTCTGGCCTCTGACTAGTGACATGTGGGCTATTGAGAGCAGATGCATTTCCTTGAGACTATTTCTGTCACCTTTCCCTGTGCTGTGAGATGCCTCATGGTTTCCAAGAGGGAATGTGCTTGAGTGTGTGTGTGTGTGTGTGTGTGTGTGTGTGTGTGTGTGTGTGTGCACATATGCTCATGTGTGTGTGCGTGCCAGCTATATGTATACTTTGCCCTTGGAAGCCAGAGAAAGGTGTTGGATCATCTGGAAGTTACAGGCAGTTGTACACCATCTGATGCGTATACTGGGAACTAAGCTCAGATAGATACTCTACAAGAATAGCAAACACTCTTTATTGTTTGTTTTGAGACAGGGTCTCACTATTTAGCTCTGGCTGTACTGGAATCTACTCTGTAGACCAGGCTAGCCTCAATCTCACAGAGATCCTCCTGCCTCTGCTTTCTAAGTGCTGGGATCAAAGGTGTGAGTCACCTTGCCTTGCTAATAGCAAGCACTCTTAACTACTATCTCTCCAGCCCACAATGTTTCTTTTGTGTCAAACAGTGATGGCAGTGCAAGGTTCAGGAGATCACAGACGTCAGAGAGATGACAGAGGGCTTGGCCATCAAGCAAAGACGGCAGAGAGATGACAGAGGGCATGGCCATCAAGCAAAGAGCTCAAGTTGGCTGATTTCTGGTTCCAAGTCAGTCATCTCTACTCACTCTGCTCTGGTTAGCAGAGGCCTCCAGCAAAGTATCCGAATAACCCAGGAAGTTAGGTTGTTTGTTCACTAGGAGCTTTACCCAGTAGAAGCAGACATGTGATAAAGGGCTCTAAGCCAGACCATCAGCCTGCTGCCATGTTGTTAGTCAAACACAGGAGGAACCCAATACTTATTCCTAATTCTTAGCTGGCAGTTATTACATAGTCATCTACCTACAATGACAAAAAAAAAAATACGTGCCCTTACATGCACATGTGAAGAATCTGTGATGGAAAGGATCTCAAAGAACACCAAGACCGGTTTCTCATGGCTATGGTTTTAGAAGGCTCCAGGCTTCTCTCCAGGAGCAATTTACTTGATGCTAAGCAGTTGTTTCAGGTGTTTGACATTTAAAAAGGTAGAGTACTTGAAACTTTACAGGGAGGAAATGGACTTGCCAAGTCTGCAAATTGCTTAGTGGACATTACTCTCCTTGCTATTTGTAGCTACTCATGTCAAGTGATGTGGGCATGCTGAATAAAACTGTAGTGTCAATGTGAATTGAACTAGTCACCTTTGGCTCAGTTGCTATCTAAAATTCTGCAACAGACATGAAAGATAATACATAATATTGACAGTTTCAATAAAAAGAAGTTTGGAAGGCCTGAGGGATGGTTTACTGATGAAGACCACTGGCTGCTCTTTCAGAGGACCGGGGCTCAATTTCTAGCACCTACACTGTGGCTCACAGGCTTCTGAAACTCCAGTTCCGGGGAATCTAATGCTTCGTCAGGCATCGCATGCACATGGTACACATACATACATGCAGGCAAAATACTCATACACATACACAGTGAATAAAAAATAATGTTTGATATTACAAACTTACACTAAAATAACATGTATTTTTACTTCCCTCTCCAATTCTTGTCTGAGACAGTGTCTCATGTAGACCAGGCTGGCCAGAAATTCAATATGTCGCAAAGACTGACCTTGAAAAATGATTTTTCCGCCTCTGCTTCCCAACTGCTGGGATGACTTTGCCACTGGGCCTAGTTTATGTGGTGTTGGGGATGAAACCCAGGCTTCACAAATTATAAAAGCATGCTACCTCCTGGGCTGTACCTACAGCCCTGAAATTGCCCATTTTAAACTGTATTTACATAGGAGAATTAACAAATGTCGTGTGGTGGAAATTGCTTAGCAATTTCTTACTCTTCCAAAAATATTCAGACAGTATAACATTTCTACAGGACAAAGCCCATGGCCAATGTTCTTTCTGGCAAATACCTGAGCTCTCTTCTCTGCCGGAGATGTTAGGAAAAGCCCACTTAAGTGAAGGTGAAGTTGAGTATTATCAGAAACAATTACAAGAAAGAAAGAAATAGTGGTATTCCATGTCAACTAACTTTATTTCCAAAACTCACAGCCATGAAGACCTTTACACAAGCAACTCAGGGACGTGAAAGAGACCACCTAATTCATTTAATGCATCAAGTCAGAGAAACTTTCTACGGCTTAAAATTTCCTTTCTTATCCTGCCATGCCCTATCTTCAGCAGCTTGAATCACCCTCTTTCCCTCAGACTGGTAAGGCAGTGAAAAGATGTTTGTTCTGCTAATTAACTTTATTACCCTGATAACTCCCTGCAGCCTTTGAGGAAAACAATTACCGGTACCCCCCCTCCTATTTTTTGCCAGTAGGGGTAGGAAAAAAAAAAGGGAAAAAAAAGGACAAAAAACACTATTAATTAGAATGGAGGCCCAGGTCCCTGCCACGTTCCCAGGCCCTCGAGCAGGATAGCATTACATTGTCAGTAGTAATTTAGCTCTCATCTGTCTGCGCTAATTATTGTCACATTCATCAAATTCATCAACAAAAGTGCTCTCAGAAGGATTGCATATTTGCTGTTAATACAGCATAAACTGGTGTTACCCATCACCACATTTGTGATTGTGAGAGGGACACAACTTATTCATCCCTAATTAGAGCAAGCTGGGTAATTAATTATGCATTCCGCCTTATTACTTCTGAGTTCCCAGATATTGTTTGTCTAAAAAGGGGGAGAAAGCAGGAGAGAGAAGCCTGAAAAAATGCAAAAAAAAAAAAAAAAAAGAAAAAAGGGGGAAAAAAGGGTGATGTGTTTTGTCACATGTGGTATGCCATAATTCCCACCTGACAAAATAGCTGAATCAGTGGAAAATTGCGAGTTGTCAGCAGCAGAATAAACTGCTGCAATAGCTGATTAGCGATCAGCACCTGTGACAGGTGCTGTACGGGACTGTAAACTTGGTTTGATTAACAGTCACTGGACGAATAAATATTAGTGACAGTCACCGGAGAGCAAGTTTGCTTGTTTGCTTCCTGTTAACACATCACATGCGTTAAAGTTATTGATATTTCTGTCTGAGACACAGTAGTTTTTTTTTTTAATCTGCCAACACTGGCAGGGAGTTCTAATGGATTGTGTTTATTTCTGTTCTGTTCTTTTATTTCAAAGCTAAAATTGTATTTTGACAGGATGACCTATAGGGGTTTAAATCTACCAGGTGTGGGAGAAAAAAACAAAAAAACAAAATAACCAACAACAAAAACAACCCAGAGTCACACT